CCACCAATGCTGTGAGCTTCAAAAACGCTCGTCAGAAACCTACGGGTGACGTCACGAACACTACGTCCATATTTTTATACAGTCTATGGTTAAGACAGACAGCAAATCATAAATGAACTTAAGTGTCTTCTGACGCCTCAAGGCCTGTTTCATAAAACAAGTTTACCAAATAGGCCAGGCTTATTTCAATTAGTCTGACTAATTTTGAACCAAATCAACTGACGATAAGTCAGACTAACTGAAATAAACCTGGCTCATTTGGTAAACGTTTTATGAAACAGGCCCCTGGGTAGTATGTGTTCCCTGTGAAGTCTTGACATTGCTGTTGATCTGCTGGTAAAAAAAAAAAAAAAAAAAACCGCATTCTCTTAAATCACATCACCTGTTAAAATGTAAAATGTGTCAAGATTCCTGATTTAAAAAAAAAAAAAAGGTTAAGAGGTTAATAGTTACTGTAAATGCCTCTTAAAAGGTAGATACTTTATGTTCAAAGGATTGGCCTTGGCTTCTTGCACTCTCATCTGTACTATGTATACATATTAAAAGGCTGTATAAAGGAAAAGTTCCCTCTAAATTTCAAATGCACCCTATTTTGAGTGGTAATGTTGCAAAGCCATGTACTGTACCTGTGGAGTTACAGTATGAACTCACCCTACATTTCCCTCTGAATTATGCCGTTTGAATGTACCCGAATTATGAGTTTAATGAACTCCCCAGTGTTATCAATGCCAAAAACACTTCCTTCAGTAGGGTGGCCAGTAGTTCATTTATGAGCAGATGGTTAAAAGCTGGGCAGAGCCTTCAGACACTCAGTCGATGTCTGTCATTTAAGACTGTGGTCTGTAGAAAATTCTGTGGTCAATCCCGGGTGTTATATTACACAGTCCTAATTAAGTGATCTTTGCTCATCCAGGAGAATGTTTGTTCTACTGAGACACTGAGACTTCAAATAAGCCACGATGGCTCTGATCTCTTACCCCACCGGAGTGTGTTGGGTCTTCTAAAGATGGAGCCAAAGCAGCCATATACCTCTAGATAAAACCGGCTTAATTAAATTATACTCAAAATATCACCTACAAACAGCGCTATAATATATTTAGAGAATATTTCTGCCATCCTGTTCCCTGGAGGTGGACAAATGATGAAATACATGTGATGGTCAGATCCAAGAGGCATTTACAAAATTCCTGACACAAATGATGAAGGCCATGCAACACTAACTTCCATAAACAGGCTTGATGCTACAAGACTGCTCTGCCATACCTCCCTGCCAAAATGATATATTTCACCAACAGACTGGACCTTTCTTTTCCTCAGATTGTAATCAGTCTTGTGACAGGTTTGGCTTAACTAAGCTCAGATTCAATGAAAGGCACCCCCAAATCAGCTTGCAAGTGGCCCCTTTCCCAAAAAGCTAAGTTGGCAGTATTTTTTCCTACTCATCATTAGAGCACTGATAGATGCATAAACCAGACAGTCTTTAAAAAGCAAAATGAAACCGTAATTAGAAATTCTGTACATTTAAAACTTAAATGTAAAACTATAAATGTGTGTATATCTATATGCATGTATATATATATATATATGTATATATATGAGCTTTGTAAAAATCTACACGTTTCAGAAAGGCGGGGCATAGAGGAGAAACAATAATGTACAGTATGTGGAAAATAATGTTTTTTGAACCTTAAACCGCATAAACACATTTCATTACACCAAATACACAAAATAATGTTCTTTTTAGCAACATCATATGACCCCTTTAATAACTGATAAGTTTACTTCCACCAAAGCACCACCACATTATCAGTCTGTACACAACTCTGCAGCCTTTACAATCAAAAAACAGAGTTCTGCCTTTGAAATACCTTCAACGCAATTACCAGAAAGCATTAGTAATCCCATCAAAAGCCGACCTCCGTCCTTGAAAACGCCATGAAGCAATGTGTCAAGGTCTGTTTTTCCCCAAGTTTAATTTCATTGAGACAAAACATGGGACTGTTATGTTAATACTTTTGTTTGTTCACGCATTTCATTTGTGCTGTTCTTTTGACATTAAAGAGACCAGATGGGCTTTTTTCTCTGACATTTATCATTCACAATTGCACAATAACATTAGAAGGAATAACACAGAAAACTAGAGATGACATGAAAACAGATGGAAATGGGAACAAAGGTACAGATGGATGTGTTATGTAAATCTTTGTTCATGGCAGTATAGTTTTTCTTTTCTCAAATTTGTAACATCGCCTATTTATTCAGAACAAGCCAATGTATTCTTTTCCTTGTTTTGAGCGCTGACTTTAAAAGCATCCTTCACAGATCATTTTGATTCAATCCACTTGTGGACAGTTTGAACTATCACTGTTCAAAATGACGGAAAAATCAGCCAATTATAGTATTATGCTCCCATATTTTGTTGTTTTTGTATTTTCATAGTACCTATTTACTTTTGCATGTGTCCTCTTGTGCTAGATACAAAACAAATGAAAACCCACTCACAGATGTATTTAGTTTTTTATCAGTGCTTACCTCACATACTGGAAAGCTCTTGTCTGAGAACCTGAACCGTAAACCTGAAAAATGTAAAACAAACAGAATCATAATCATACATCAGATTCAGAGCACATGACATTATGCAAAAAAATGTGAAAATATAATTTGTGTTCATTTAAAATCAGCCATAGGAAAAAATATATTTTATTCAAAACTCATTAATGTCATTTCCAAGCCCATCTGATTAACATAATAAAAATAAAAAAAAACAGTTTTTGATAGGTAAGAAAAAAGACAGCATTCTGTATGGATGCCCCACTTTTTAATTTCACAAGGCTACACATTGAAGTAATCCCCATTTGTTTGTCTGTGTGAAGCTGAATTGAGTCAAAGCAGTAATTGAGAGTTAGGAGGTGTAATCAACACTGTATATGGTTCATTATTTTAACAAGGTCAATGGGTCTTACCGTCAGCGGCTCTCCCTGTAAAGCCTGCAGAATGAAATTACTGACCACTCTCCCATCATTCATGTGCATGCGAGACCCGAAGGTGTTGAAGATCCGAGCCACTCTCACCTCTACTCCTTCCTGTGAGACACAGACACATGCGAACCTCATTAACACCATGAGTTCTGCTGCAAGTGTTAATTATTCAGTGAACATGCAGCATAGGTTCATGGGTTTCAGGATTATATGCAGCTGAAGCTCAAAATCTATTACTAGAGCTTCACTGATTTTGACAATACTGAATTCATACATGAGATCCTGATATCGATGTCTTCACATTTTCATTAGTAGTCTAAAGCCAGATCTAAAAATGCTTCATTTCGTTCCTAAAAAAAAAAAAAATAGTAGCAGCATAACAATTGGACTGGAAAATGTGCATTATTTTCAGAATGCAGAAGTATTTTGGTCTGGTTGCCCTTTTGCTTTATTGACAGTAGCACACAAATATAAGTGGGCCGATCTGTAAACACACTCACATTAAGTATGGATGGCATTTGTGATTAACACAGCGACAGACAACATCTAATTTTCAAGCAATTGTGACATTAATCATCAAATTTCCTTGGCCCACCTGTCCAAATGGCAGAAACTCTCTTATTAAAAAGCATGTGGCCCACATATATTTCAGAGGTGTTGGTCATTGATGGAGGGCCTGTAGCTCTGTCAGCATCACAGAGGAAGATACGCAACTCTTTCATGCTTTTACATCATGCAAATGCCAGTGCTTTTATATTTCTAGCATTTCATCTCACAACTTACTTTGGGCTGACAATAGAGCTATTTCTGTAACAGTATTGGTAATAACTAACCATTACCCATCAACACCCTGGAAGTCGAGAGGTTACACAGCTTAAGGTCCTTGGACTACTATTTCTGCATCCCCAAAAAAAAAGTCTGTAAAAAAAAAAAAATCTTTATATGAAGGAATTTTCCATATCAATTTTTCACAGGGGTTTTATCCACATTTTGAATTACCCATTGTATTGTGTTGTGTTTTAGGGTTGAAGGAAATGTCCTTAAACCTAAAGGAAAATCTACAGGTAATTTTCTGCTAGGACATTATCGGTTTTTCTATGAATTTTTTGTTTTGTTTTGTTACAGTGTAAAATGCATTATCAAAAAAAAAAGACTTTTCTCTCTAACAGAGTTTAAGAAGTTTGGAGTATCAAAAGACATCGTTTAATTTCCATAGAGCAGTGACAGAAAGCGTATTAACATTCATTAAAGGTATTTGCATGCACACTGATAACTACCACAATCAGCTTATTGAAATAACCCTTTTTACTGGTTTACATGCAAAACAATTACCTGGCAACACAAGCAGATGACATTTACAAGATTTTTAAAATCAGGTTATCCCCTAGTTGTGGCGTCACAACAAAATTATTTTTGTATCTGACTCATTTATGTAGTCAATATGAGGGGTGATGTTAAATAAAGCATTAAAAACCAGAGCAAGAGGAAACTTATATGGACTCATAATATGTTGCAGTTTCTATGACTGTACCACTTCTCTTCAGGCTAAAGATGAGAACACATTTTTACAATTTCTTGGGTAAAATGAAATTTCCATGGTTACTTAACAGACAGAATAGGATTCTAAAAAATACTAATTGTTTACATTTTTTTTGCACATTTATGTTTTGCTTGAAATTTTTTATAAAGGTTTTCATATTAATATGTAATGTTACATTTTAAAAATAATACATCATTTTTAAAAAGCTAAAAACAAATGTCCACTCAGAAGACAAGCAATGTGACGGAGTATTTGGATGGAAAATAAAACAGAAAAGACTGGTTATGAGGGAAAACATGAAATTATATACCATAATATACCGTGCAATTATATAAATTATGCCATTTTATACCGGTTTAAAGGGGAAATATTACAAAAGAAACGACAACAGACCCTATATAAATATCCAAACAAATAGAATACCCTAAAATAATGTGTAATTACACACGCAAGTTGACGTTTAAGTACACGTCAAACTTTTCTTGCGATTTTGCCACCTGTCATGTGCACAGATATTTGTCATACATAAGAAACGCATTCAAACCCGGACAGGTAAACAGTTGCCGTGGTAATGAACTATGACTTATGACCAACTCATGCAAACTAACTTTTATTTGATTCTGTTTATAAGAGGCTATAAATAGAGGCCTAAAATTATTATAAGAAACTACTGACGTACATGAGGACGACAAGTCTCATCTAATTACTCTGACTCATGCCTCTTTTTAATCCAGAAGAAGACAATACAAATAAGACTAAATTAATTTAGACTTCAAAATATCTTCTTTTTCATTTCACAGAGGAAAGATTCATACAGGTTTAGAACAACATGAGTGTGAGTAAATGATTTTGGGTGAACTATCACTTCAGTGTATATGTTAATGTTAATAATGAAAGTAATGATACGGTGTCAATCGGTCATGTTCATTTAATTGCGTTCCAGAGGTGGTTGGGAGTCTCATGGGACATCTCTATGTCAGAAAAGGTTGAAAACTGCTCTAAACCACTCCATCATCATGAAGCAACACATCACTATTCTCCATATTGCTCCAAGCTTGCCAACCTAGTAATTCCAATCAAAACTGGGTGAGAAGGCCAGAAGACATGGCCACATCAATTTAAAAAATAAAATCAAAATCAAAAGAAAGATCACAGTGAAGAATCAAAGTAAAGAAAAGGTCAATAATTAAAGCTGTTTATTTCTGTTTAAACATCATCCCCCATTCAATGGAACTGCAAATATAATGATGTTTCCAAACCTGCTTCCAAAAGACCAATATGGACCCTTCTGCATCACAGAACCACAGTGATGACACTCTTCAGGGAATTTAAAATATGAATGGCTTACTTATGATCTCTGCATAATAAAATGGGACAGGACAAAATATTGTATATCTTTTATATCTAATTATATCTATATATTATCCCTGTTCCCTTGAGCAGTGCACAGTGCACAAACTACAAGAAGGTAGTTAGAAAACTTTTAAGTGACCATGACATCAAAATTTACAATTCATATTTTTTAATGAATGTTGACGTGTTTATTATAAATAATTTATCGTTGAACTGAATTAACAGCTCTAATATGAGGCATGAAAATAATACCGCTTATAACTGGAAAATATTTCATATTATGATATGAGCTACATAAATCTCTAAAGACAGGCCGTGTAAAGGTAAAACCTGTACTTGTGCCTGCATCAAACACTGGCCTTGAAACAGTGTAAGAGAGAACCTGGAAGTTTAACAGGGATAGTTGGATTTTTAGGTCCAGTAGTTCTATAATTAACTCTGTGGACTTGAATAAAAACATGAAAACTCTCATGAATAGCATTATAAATGAAGGATGGGCTGCAAAAATGCCAGACTACACATAACGGGGACAAAACAAGGACAGCCTACTTAAGCAGCCTTTTTAACAAGCACTAGCCTGATTGCAAGCCTATTGTGTGATCACACAAACACTATGTGTGTGAGCATGGCACATTTTAGCTGTGATGACAAGGCTGTGTGTTACCATTTTTACTACCGGTAAGACAAGTGGGCTGTGCACATACACAACCACAAACCAAGTTCAAGCTCAAGTCATTTCCTGATCTCAGGCTGAGTTTATGCACCCCTCTTAAATTGTCCCATTTGTAAAAAAAAAAAAGACAGGCAAAACAAAAAATTAGGAAAATATAAAAGAACAGACCCACTCACGTTAAAGAAATTCAAAATCTCATTAATATGTGTGGCGAAACTAATCACATTTCGACCTAAAGTGACACTTTCAAAATAGCCTTGAGCAAAACTGTAACAGTTTGCAGTGTAAAAACATGAAGCAAAGCGGTCTTCAGTGAAATAGGCTGAAATAGGCCTTAAATCAATGCTTTCCATTAGGGGACTGAGAAAGCATTTTCAGAGCAATGATGGGTCTCAACAATGCCAGAAAGCTGTAATTCAGGCTGAGCAAACAGTCTCCTGATGACTGAGGTGACAGTAAGATAAAGCCAGAGCCATAAGGGTCAAAAGATCAAGGAAGTTCTTAAAAGAAACTGCTCGATGAGAGCAGATGATGTAAGGGGATGGGGAGAGCGCAGAGGGGATTGAAGTGGGCTAATTAAGTCAATTGGAAGAAAGGCACATCACGAGACACGGAGGTCAAAGGTGACACATCTGTGTTTTTACCAACCTGCATTATAATTGTGAAGGACACTGATGAATAACCAGAAGAGGATGGAGATTAAATTTGAAATATCTACAAAGTGGACTTCCAAGAATGTAATAACCACCAAAACTAAACAAATGAGACAGGAGTTAATTAGAATTTAGTCCATTCATCATATGTGAGATTGTGGAGCAAACACAATGCTGTCAGAGTTGTGGCAGTGTAGCATACATGCTCTTAAAATGCTGGAGCTGCAGCATTTTTTTGGGGGGGTTAAAGGGGTCATGACATGAGAAATCAAATTTGCCTTGATCTTTTGGCATATTGGTCTTTGTACCATTAAAACCTGCAAGTTTCATAGCTTAAAACGACCTCCTCATTATGAACAAAGCATTTATTTAAACAAGCTCCAAAAACGGCTTTGTGACGAGTGGGGCGGGGCCGAGAGCCGTGTTTGTTTATTTTGTTATTAAATGGTTTAAATGTTCACCGGTTCCTGCCTCCTTCTTCCCGTTCTACGAACTGTTACATTGGTGCCGAAACCCGGGAAGGAGGAGGCGGGAACCGGCGAACATTTAAACCATTTAATAACAAAATAAACAAACACAAAAGTAAAGCGGCAGCCCCTCACGGATGACTGCTGCACACAAAACACAAATAAGGTCCAGGCCTGGTCCTCTCTCGTCTTCCACTGTCATCGCTCCTCCTTTTATCCTTCCGGAGCTCCTCCGTGGGACACGAGACCAGTGAGTGGCGCAGGTGTCGCTCATTATCATTAAACTCCATCGGCTTTGCTCCGTTCCCACGGCTCTCGGCCCAGCCCAACTCGTCACAAGCTTGTTTGGATCTGAGGTGCCAGATGACATCACCCGGGCACAAACATTTGCATAAACACTGCCTCCAGAGCAAGACATCGACAAATAGTCATCTTCTCACCATAGGACCCACCCACTGGCGTTCAGTCACTTAAAGGGTTAGTTCACCCAAAAATGAAAATTAGCCCATGTTTTACTCACCTTCAAGGCATCCTAGGTGTATATGACGTTCTTCTTTCAGACGAATCCAATCGAAGTTATATTAAAAATTGTCCTGGCTCTTCCAAGCTTTATAATGACATGGGTGGGTGTTTTTGTTCAACAAATTAAAACGTTTTGTCCATCCATATTAAAACATGCCTCACATGGCTCCGGGGAGGGGGTGAATAAAGGCCTCCTGTAGTGAATGGATGCGTTTTTGTAAAATAAATATCCATATTTATAACAATATAAACAGTTTTGTGTAACTTCCGCTAACTGTTGTACACGTGTTCACGATAGATGTAGGACGCAGGCGTAGCGCATGCACGTGTGAGTGTCACGAAAACCAACGTTTGTTTACAGGAGCAAAGAAAGCAAAGTTTCCTTGCTTTAGCAAAGGAAAACCAGTCTCCTCTTGGCTTATATCGAAATCCTCTGACATTTTTCTTTACAAATCCTCGTTTTGTACTTCTAATTTGTGACTGGCATTTTGTTTTGTTCTCTCTCCGTCGCACTTCCGTGTTCGTCACTAATCATCGCGCTACGCTCGTTCGCTTTCTGACACAGTCCATGCGCTTGAGTCTGTCAATAGGACAAATAGAGTGAAAGAACATTCGCTTTGCTTTGTATTGTAAACGAGGGACAGTGTCATGAAGAGTTCACAAAGAAACATTTGTTAAAAGATGAAGCGGTACTAGATCTTACTGCAGCTGCATCACAAACCCTAAGTGAATGCTTCGTCTGGAAATGACCTTTTTTTTTTCTCTCCATGTTGTCGAAACACACATGCAATAGCGAGGGGGCGTTTATACTGTTTCCTATGCAATGATATTAGCCAATCATAACAGTGGCGGATTACTGAGAAGGACCCGCCCCTTAAAACAGGTCGTTTAAAACAGAGGGTCAGAATGAGGTTTGAAAATAATAATTTTTCCACATATTTGTTTTTTTTTGTGCAAAAAACTTTCAACATTATAAGTGAACCTCAAGGAACATATTAAAATAATAAAAAAAACATGTCATTATGACCCCTTTAAACTGATTTTATACACATTACCATATTACATATCGCATTTCAAATTATTTAACACTTTATGGCATATCATATTTTTCTTCAATATTGTGTAGCCCTAGTAAATAGCATAAGAAATAAGTACCGCTCCCATACTACATGTCCTCTGAGCATTCACATAGTATCCAGATCAATATTTAAATGTATTTATTCATTAATTTAAACTATGTAGGCTATATCAAGAACTTTAATAAGTATGCTTTTGACATTGTAAAAGTAGAGACTTTATCTGTAAATGTAACTCTTTCAAATCACAAAGGTGTAATAATGTGAGGTCAGAAGAGAACAGAGTCTGTCCAGAGTCGGAAAGCAAAGCAAAATTAGATAAATAGGAAAGTCAATTGCTATGGATGGAAGGAAGTGCATGAATGGAAGAGTAAATCTAATTGAGTATAAATGAATGCAGTGGAGTGATAAAGCACCTCCACCAGCCCAATTATCACGTCTCAGACGCAGAGATTAGGATGGGTGGACTGATAAATATGAAAAGGAGAGCCCCTTTGTGTAGGAAAAGGAAAAAAAGAAACAAGACAACAATAAAGCAAGGGGAGGGCATTGGACAGAAGAGAGAACGGTTCATTTCTAAGTCCTGGATTTGATGATTTTCATTACTAATCTAAAGTTGAACTAATGGTAATACAGCCTTTCATCACTACAACCTCATGCTTTCATCAAACATGAATATACACCTAGCTTTATAGGGATAACTCACCCAAAAATGAAAACTGACTTGCTTTCTTCTACGGAAAAAAACAACACAGGATATTTGGAAGAATTTTGATAGATAAACCATTTTGGTGACCATCGACTCTCACTGTATGGAAAAAAAAAAAACACTTTGACATTTAGACTCCAACTGAATAACCAAATTTTCATTTTTGTGTGGACTATCCCTTAAGGCTGTGTTTTATGCAAAACAAAAATAATAAAAACTGGCATATTATCCTCAATCTGCATAAAAGGTGGTAAACAGGGAAAAAATAATCTTCTGAACAAACATAAGACAGACTATTACTTCAAATAATTGTCAAACAGCCTTTATCTTTCTCAAATGTCACTGAATTTAATTTTAAAAGGACATGCCAGATGCCACATGTCACTGATGATATTCAAATCAAACTTGTGAGGGAGAATTTCTCATGTGGTGACACAGAGCGACAATGCATGTACTGAAGGAACAATGAATATGATAAAGAAAATCTGAGACTGACACCAAGTGAAGAAAAACAGATAAAATCAGCTGCAGCAAAGGCTGGTGCCAATCAATTACATCACAGTGTTTAACAACAAGACACAGTCAGGAAATTAACATGTCACAAAGAACCAGAGAGCCAGATGATCATTGTGATCTTGCCTGTGTGTCAACCAAACACAGCCCAAGATTATCAACCTTTAGGTAACACCAAGGTGCTTAACAGGTGACCCAATAGACTTTATTTTGTCATTACATCTAATTGTATTTAGCCACTAAAAGTGAGAATTAGGTACTGTGTTTTTAATTTCGCATCAAATACAATATGGTTTTAACTGACGACGTAAATCTATTTATCACAAAAGTGCATCACTCAAAAGGCCATAATATTTGGTACATTAATGACAGAGCAAAATATTCAAAATAACTACCTTCTGATTACCTAACCCAGGGGTGTCCAAACTCGGTCCTGGAGGGCCAGTGTCCTGCAGAGTTTAGCTCCAACCCTAATCAAACACACCTGAACCAGCTAATCAAGCTCTTATAGGCATACTAGAAACTTCCATTCAGGTGTAGCGTCTGGACCACGCTACACAGGTGTGTTGAGGCAAGTTGGAGCTAAACTCTGCAGGACACCGGCCCTCCAGGACCGAGTTTGGACACCCCTGATAACCTCTGGAAATGATCTTGCGCTGTACCAGGGAGCTTAATCCCAATCTGTATAAAACAAACTTTACACATTTATAAAGCCACCTAAAGTATTTATTTTTTTAAAATACATTTTAGTATGAAAGTAATTGGTGAATCATGATTTGCTCGTTAAACATGTCTTTATGCAGATTTCACACACAAATTTGTGCAAATGCATACTTGGGGAATAAGACCCACTGTTTCCATCTAAAAATGCTGCTAATGGTTTGGCTCACCATTTCAGTTTCACATTTAATTTCTCATCAAACAGTGCATCCATCCACGCTGTTGTGAGGTTGCCAAGCTGCCTTGTTTTTCCATAAAATTATTTGTCACTCTTCCTAGCATAGAAATTTTAGCCCTTTGATGTATAAACAATATGTGAGATTCTTGCATCATTATTTCAAGTCCTCCATGGCTTTGGAGGTCTAAGTTCAGTTTGTGACTTTACATTATATTACATTACATTATATGTATTAGCTTCTTTCTCCAATTATAATTGGCTCTCAGACAGTGCGTATTCTTTTATGTTATGTTGCTTGGATAAGAAAGTGACAGCAAAGAATATTGAGTAGACTGGAAAAAGAATATGAAGGCACATTTCTATAGTTCTCTATGTTAATACACCTCGAGAGCAGGATGAAAAAAATTTAATACAGAAATCCATCTAATTTCACTCATACCTGTTTCATGTAGGCGTAACACATCGTCTCAGCAACACGTTTCCCTTCATCATAACAGGCCCGGGGGCCAATAGGGTTCACATGACCCCAGTATTCCTCATTCTGGGGGTGCACCTCTGGGTCTAGTTGAAGACACAAACACACAAACAAGATATACAATACACAACCTCCTATGGTTCACATTTAACACAAACATTTTAAATTGTAAAATGAGGGAGAACTACAATATAATGTTCAGACAGCCATTGTCCATACAACCAAAATTAAAAAAAAAAAAATTGACATTTTTATAAATAGTCGCAGTGCATTTCTATGGCCACAGAACTATGAATAGATAAATGATTTAAAAGACTCTGGCAATAAATCATAAAGACATACAAAGTTTCAAAACATTTGATCTAGGTCTGACATTAAAACTTCATGTGACTTGTTCGAACATGCTGATGATTCATTGACAAAATAAAGAAACCGCTACTTACATAACAGATAGCACAAGTGATTCTAGAGGACCTAAGACCTTTCTCTCTGCTTTAGTTTTTAAAAATCACTACTGTCAAAATTACTGAGATTATGTGAGACTAATGCATGTGGCGACTGCTGTGAAACAGCAGATTAGATTGCCGTACACAGCTGTTATTTCTGAGAGATCTTCCACATCCGCACTCCATTCATTACGTGCTTGTGTGTGGCTGAATAAGTGATAGAACAAAATTCCAGTCACACATGAAATTGTGGTTGTGTGATTTCCTGTTGGACATCAGAGATGACAATAAGCACTTGCATATAATAGATGCACCAGGTCGACAAACTACACCATATTCCGAACAAATGAAAGGCAGCTGTAGAAGAGATTTAATTTCTGTAAACTGTATGGATGACTCCTGAAATCAAAACTGTACAGTTGCAATCACAACTATTCAACCCCCTTGACCTACAAGACATTCTGCTGCCATGAATAAATTTTGATGAAAACAATTAAACCAAGGCAGCAGCACTAGTATAGAAAGTTTATTAATACACCGTTGAGTGATTCTGAGAATGTTGAAAAATTATGAAAAAAAAAAAAAAAAAAAATCTAATTTGCTCTAAACATTCATGTCAAAATTATACAACCCCCCCAAATGCCACATTCATTCTTTATAACCTCCAGGCGCTTTCAAGCTTCTGTCACCTCTCTATTGCAATCCTGGTCCATTCCTAACTTGGAAAAGCTTCTAGATCACTGATAATCTTTGACTGTCATATTGCCACTGCTTTCTTCAAATCCTTCCAAGTATTTCTAATGAGACTGAACAGGCCACTCAAGAACATTCTATGACCAATCCCTGCACCAATCTTAAGTAGATTTGGATGGATATTTTGGGATGGTTGCCTGCTGGAAAGTCAAATGATCATAAAGTCTATGCACCAAAGATATCAAAATTTCTTCCAAAAAGCTAATACTAATATAAAGAATCAACGAGGTCTTTCATACAGTCAAGATTTCCAGTTCTTGAAACAGCAGTTACCTCTATAACAAGACTGGTCCACCTCCCTGTTTGACCATGTTCTTCCACTAATTTTTTCCTCCTTTCTTCTGGTTATATTGCAATTGCAATCTTATTGTAGCCATACACTTTCTAATGTATCAAAACAATTAGTTCTCTATAGTTTTGTGAGAGCTCTTTTGACTTGTGACAACAATTCAATTAACGTAAAAAGGCAGATTTTGACGGCTGGAGCAGAAGTTAGGGTGAAAGCAGGATTGATTTTTTTTATGCACATTCAGACAAACAATCCTTTAAAGCAACCACCATGAAGAATAGTAGCTCTTACAAAGTTTGAAGGCAATGAATGGCCCAACAGCTGAATTGATGGAACTGTCATTTTCTAGTGATAATAGTTTTTCTTTCTTGCATGAAATGAATGCCATTTGTCCAGCTTAAAGATACTAAAGAGAAGAGCAAATAAAAGAATAAACCTAAAAAACAAACAACAAAACCTTGACCACATGTAACTTGGAAGCTACATTTCTCTCTTGATGGACAGAGATCTGTGTTCATTCCCAAATCCCAAATGAGCCGATTATCCAACCATCAAACTGCAGAAGATCAATTGCAAGCTCGTTTTCAGTCAAAAAGAAAAAAAAATCTAAACATCTCAAAGAGATGTGGGATTAACCAGAAAAAGGCTTTGTTGAGTCGTTTCAGGTGCCACAACCTCTCAGCAGTGTAATTATTGCTTATTTAAGAGATGTGCAAGTGAATTGTTCAATTTTTCTTTCTTTGACTTGTTGAGAATAAATCAAAAACAACTTAAACACAATTGTCTGGACATTCCCTTAGCCTTAAGAGCCGATTTCTCCACTGGAAGACATCTTCAGACTTCTGACTTGGAAAAAGCATTCTTGCTTTTACCGTTTGCCTCCAAATTGTATAAACTACAGGTTTTGACATGGACAACTTGGCCATAATATTTAATTTCCTTTTAGGCCACATTATTTGTGTGGTAATTCAAGATGAACTCAAAGCAGCCTCCACTACATCACTTCCACCACCATTCTTCACAATTGGGATCAGGTGTTTTATAATTTCATAGAACAGTCATAAAGTTCAACCTCTACCAAAATCTTTTCAGATTTCAGACTCATGCACACTCACACTGACTGAAGCACTCCTTCCCTCTCCCTTCTAGCTTTTGATTTCAACTAGGGTTGCAAAGGGGCGGAAAATTTCCGGAAACTTTCCATGCGAACTTCATCTGGGGAATTTTGGAAATATTCCAAGTTTGAAACTTACCAGGAATTTATGGGAATTAATTGGTGGAAATTTATAAAACGATCATATACAAACATAAATATAAACATTTTGTTTGATCATAGGTTCACATGCATGCAAACTAATACAAATTTAAAAAATACATTTTTTGGATTTTTGGGGGGGGGGAATCTGTCATCATCTGTCTCATCTGATTTATTGATGAATGAAAACTTGTGAACAGTGTTTATTCAAAATAGAAATCTTTTCTAACAATATAAGTCTTTACGATTACTTTTTATTAATTTAACACATCCTTGTTGAAAAGAGAAAAGACACTGATCCCAAACTTTTGAATGGTAGTGTATTGTTAAAAAAGGATTTCTATTTTAAATAAACAGTTAAAAAAAAAAAAAAAATTCTTTATTCATCAAAGAATCCTGAAAAAAGAATCCCAGGTAATAAAAAAAAAAATGTAAACAGCACAGCTGTTTCCAAAATGTATTATAAATAAGCATATTAGAATGATTTCTGAAGAATCATGTGACACTGAAGACTGGAGCAATGATGTTCAAAATTCAGCTTTGCATAAGAGAAAAACATTATATTTTAAATTATATTAAAACAGAAAACCATTATTTTAAATTGTAATACCAGTAATACTGCACAATATTACGGTTTTGTTCTGTATTTTTGATCAAATAAATGAAGGCTTGATGAGCAAAAGATTTGCAATGTTTAAAACATTAAAATAGTAATGTTTCCAAACTTTTGACCAGTACTGTACCTCTGTATGATAACAGAAAACTGGAAGAGCATCACAGCTTGAGCTAGATTATACCTCATAAATTGTCAATGAAATAGTGCTAACTCGCTTAGATTTTTAATATCTTGATTTTACTGGCTAGCTAGCTACTGTATAAACACTTTTTGGTATTTAATAGTTAAACTTGAATCCCATAGATCAAATATATTTAGAATATCAAAACGTAGATGTAATCTTTCGGCTCAAATGCAGCAAGTGTGGCTTCAGAGAAAATGGAGGGGAATCCCCCTCTTAAGCCCCGTTCAGACTACAAGCGACAAAGCGACACACTCCCATTCATTTCAATGGAGAGCTGGCGATTTCCGGTGACAATGTGCGACAGCGGCCGTTGGCGACGGATGGGGCGTGTCCAGCAACGCAACAAAGTTCAGAATCCTTCAACTTTATGCAAATGAAGAGCGACTTTCGGAAGCGACAGCCAATAGGAAGAAGACGGCAGAGCTGTGATCGTTCTCCTCTCAGCCGTAGATAAACATACACAATGGAAAAAAAGTAGGATCTGATTCTCATTAATTTTTGTTTGTATGTACGGATTTAATTAATATTTATATTATATTTAGTCTTTTGCCTCCAAAATGTTTGTATTTAGCGGCAAGAAACCTGATTCGTTGTCAAGGCAACCAGTAGTGATAACACCCACTAGTTAACCTCATCACCAGCCTCTGGCGACAAGCAGCGACAAAGTTGCTGCTAGTGTGAACGCAGTTTAGGTGACTAGAGGGGATTATGTGTGGGGGAGGGTCATTTTTAGACTTCTGTTTTATTATTATCTCACCTAAATGTTTGTTCCAGTCTATGGTTTGTTCAGTCAGTGTATTTGTTTTTACAATGGTATAGCCTAATTTAGTTGCACAGTATATTACACACAGCACAAGGAAGTTTACATTTTTTTTTTGTAATATTCATGTAATTTACATGAATACTTACCAAGGATGGACATTTTGATATTTTGTGCAGGATTTAAGAAATGATCTGTTCATGTTATGGAGGAAAGCACAGTGCATGTAGGGGGTGTGGCCTCAATAACCCTGCAGTAAGTAGGGTAGAAATTAAACTGAAATTGCATTAAATCAGGTTGTTTTAACCAAGATTATGCTGCAAGATTTTTTCTCAACTACATTTAAGTCCCCAGTTCCTGCAATTTTGCAAATTTCCAGTTTATTCCCATGGAAAGTTTCCAGTCTTGAAAAATCCTGGAATTTTGCAACCCTAATTTCAACTCAAAATGTGGTACAGACATATAGCTAAAGTGCTAAAACTTCATGACTACAGGTCTCTGATCTCAAAAACCAGGTGCACATTGATAGATTTGTCAGAAATGTAGGGTCAACTGTTCTGCAGCGTAACTACTTCTACAACAGATTTCTAAGGAAGTACCAATAGGAGCACAGCGATTTAAGTGTAAGTGTGCTTATGAGAGATATAAATATTAATGCTAGTTTATCGCTCCGATAAATGACTCATTATTTAGTGCTCCCTTTGCATCACTGCTAGCATTAAAATGGAGACATTTGTACACGTACCTCCATACACTTCTGAAGTGGAGGCGAGGAGCAAACGAGCTCCGACTCGCTTGGCCAATCCTGTGAACAGAGAGAGACATGAGCAAATCGGTTGTTAAATTGTATCTAACCAGACAGAGTCTGACTCATCAATCAATAAGTGACTCCCATTGGATGAGTCAGAAAAACCTAAACCAGACATCAATCAGAAAAAGGCTACAAGGAAGAAGCAAAGATATCGTGATCAGGATATCAGTCAAAGAAAAAATGTGTGCAACAATCCACCTTTCACAGCTTAATGTTTGTGCGTAAGTGCTAAAATCTCATTATTTTCATTAAATGTTTTGACTGGCTGGAAAAATGTTTAGATAGTCACTATTACAACAGGACATGCACAGGATGTACAATATAAATGATTATCTACACACTGATGCATTGAGATTTGATTTAAGCTTATGTTTCCCTGACACACACACACACACACACGTACGTGTAGAACATTTTATTACATCAGTTAATGCACATATCACAACAGTAGTGGTCGACCGATATTGGTTTTTTGACAGCCGATGCCGATATCTTGGAAAGCAGGTTGGCCGATATAAAGCCGATATAATTTTATTTATTTTAAATACTATTTAAGAATTTGAAATCATTTGAAAATGGATTTAAAAATAAATGTGTAAAATAAACATACTTATACTTTAGATGACAATGTATTTTTCACAAATAAATAAATTATTTAATAAAAAGTCAACATTGTAACCAACAGGGCACTAAGTAATCTGGGAAATTTGTGTGCCTTGGGAATCATATTTTTTTCAAATAAAGACAAGGTAACAGTCATTTTACATACAGTACACAGTGAAAATGACATGAATATGGCAGTGGGCAAATGGATAACGCGCAGCATAATTTGAAATCACGAGTTTGAAGTTAGTCGATAGCACGTCTCAGTGAAGCTGAACTCTCCTTCTGTCCGCATTCAATTCGCATGGACCGACCGTCATGCAGAGCACACGCGATCATGCAGAATACAAATGCACACTTCACAAGATCTCAACTAGATTCGACTAAGTTTGCAAGGTTTGTGAAATTAAATGTTCATTAATAGACTTTCAAAGATTTGTTCAAATGATGTAAATGCGTATTTGCTGAATGCTGACAGCAAACGAGACAGTATTATAATGTTTGCTTTTCAATTACTAATAATATAAAAGCAATCGTTATAATACTTTTTTGTATACATTTTAATTATTTTGTTTAACCGTTCTATCTGATTATTAGACAGACTTCTATCCGTATTAGACAGAACTATTAACGACGACAGCGAACAAGAGGGAGCATGTGAGCACTGTGTGCTCAGACGCTGCCGTTCTCAGCGCCGTCAAAATAAAAGTCCCGCCTTGAAAGCATCGGCCAAACAGGAAAAACTTATCGGCCAATGTCGATATTTGAAAAAACGCCAAATATCGGGCGATATATCGGTCGACCACTACACAACAGTTTGGAAATGAAATATCAGGAGCGTGGCACTAAAAAGTTAATGCTCTTTTGCATTTGAAAATAACGTACCACCTACACTAACCGATAGTGTGAGAAAAAAACTAACTTGAGATAAAAATGCATTTGCTGACGCAACCATCCATTTTAACTTGCTTCTACAGGCCTTTGAGTTCATTTACGTGACTTGTGTTTCTTGAGACTTGTATTCAAGCAACACAAGTGCAGTGCTGTACTGGGTGAGTTACTGAGCAAGTTTACTGCATCAGAAAAGCAACACATATGGAGTTGGTTATTGATGCAAACATCAAAAAGTGTTAGTTTTCAAGTCACACGCAATATTAAAAGTGTTTTGAGGTCATAACATTGTATTGTGAAAGTAACTGTGCAAAAACAAGTCTTTAAAATTTGATTATATGCCCCTGTAATAATTTGTGTAAAAAGCAACAAAAGTTGCAGCTGGAAACTGTAGTGAAATGTATGTATCTGCAGTTTTGCAGATATGTAGCCACTACTAGCCAGAGTCACCTATTTCCAGTGAACCTGGGTTGCTTAAAAGGGTCATATGATGCAATTTAAATTTTTCCTTTCTCTTTGGAGTGTTACAAGCTCTTGGTGCATAAAGAAGATCTGTGAAGTTGCAAAGACTAAAGTCTCAAATCCAAAGAGATATTCTTTATAAAAGTGGAGTCAACCACGCCTACCTAAAACGGCTCGTTCTAACACGCCCCCACATGTCTACGTCACGATGTGGGAAGATTTGCATAACGCCGCCCAAATGTTCACGAAAAGAAAGAAGGCGTAACTTTTATTCTCGCTGTAGTATTGTTGTTGCCGCCGCCGCCATGTCGTGAAGGCGCTGTGTGTTTCGTTGTGAAAGCGAAACTACTTTGTTTGGCCTTCCAAAAGAGGACGATATCCACTTCGTCA